GGCTTCCCGGGTCTGTAATAAATCTCATCTTATGCCCTTTACATCGGAGCGAGTCTCGAGTTTGTCGGTTGGGCTTAATTTGGGAGGCTTTCTCGGACCCAACACTGGTTAACATGCCTTTACTGTAAAGTAAAAATTGCACATTCTGCTAGCTACACCAGCTAAGAAGCCTTTGAGACACTTGAAAGTTCATCCTAGGGTAGGATCCAATCAATGTGCTTTTTGAAAACAAGCAAACAAAAAGGACATTGGAAAGAACCCTGCCCCAAACTGCAAAGGGCTCCAGGTTAACGAGAAACCCTCAGGAAAGCAAATGGTTCTTTTAAGTCCAGGACTCAGATGATGACGCAGGGGCTCTGGGGGCCCCTGGCCTTACTGGCAACTCCAATCCAAATATCCTCATAGAAGCCCTGGCTGCAAACCGAGGGTGGGGATCAGTTGGTACTAAGCCACAGGGGCAGAAGCAGTCCAGAGGAGGAGGCCCCCCACCTTCCTGCCATGGCCTGGCCCTCAGCACCTGCCATGCTCAGCACTCTGCAAGCCAAGCCATGGGGAGGCAGCCAACGGCATGAGGTGACTGAGAACTCCCCACAGCTGCCTGGGGACAAACAGGCAATTCCCTGGGGACAAATGCAGGTAATTAGTCAGAGTACTGGGAACTGTACCAAGATCTACAGAAACTCACCTGAGGGTCCCAGGGCTTGGCCTTGCATGCAGGAGACTGCCATGGCAGAGACGCTCACTTTAAAGGTCAGATCTCAACACACCTAGACTTAGATCCCCTTTAAGACTGAAGATCGGACAGAGGATGGCACAACTAATCAGAGACAGAATTCTTGCAGACTCATCTCCACCCCAGAGCATTAGTTTGTCCTCTTAAGAGGCATTTGCATGAGTACACACATCGGGAGCGTGATGCCTTGATGGATTTGGCGGGACCCCATTTGCAACTTTGTTCATGTGCTTGTGGGGGTCCAGAGACAGAAGGCTGCCCACTGCACAGGGATTCCAACACACAGGGGACCCACCCTTTTGATGACTGGCATTTTCACTCAGATGCCTAGGCTTTTATTGGTAGGTACCTTTTCAGGCTGGGTAGAAGCTGGTCTTACCCTGAAGAGAAGAAAGGAGCCTCTGAAGTTACCATAACCTTTCTGAACCTTCATTCTGAGATGGGCTGCTTCCTACCAGGAGCTCCAGCCGGAGACAGATCCTTTGCTGAGTTATTGAAAGCATACAAACCAGCACAGAGCAGAAACGGGCCTGAGAGGCTGATGGGATGATAGCTCTCAGCAGATAGAGGATGGCATGCTGGTTATAGATACTGGGGGGTGGGTGGCTGCCAAGCCAGCTCAGCAGAACCTACTCAAAGAATCACCATGTTCGGCTACTCTAAGGTGGTGTCCATCCAGGGAAACCCTGCTTATTAGGAAGAGGGAAAAATGGGGAGATGTTGGTCAAAAGATACAAAGTTTTCATTAGATAGGATAAAGAAATTCTAGAGATCTATTTCCTGGCATGGAAAATTCTAGAGATCTATTTCCTATGCATTGCATACTTGAACGTTGCCAAGAGGGTAGATCTCATATGTTTCTCAAACTGATAAAGGTCAGAAGTATACGAGGTGATGGATATGTTCGTTAGCTTGATTGTGGTCATCCTCTCACGATGTGTATATCCAAACACCACATTGCACACTGTCAATGTGTACCCTGCATATGTAACAAGGTCAGAGAGGACACGAGCAAACGCTGTGCACGTAGGTGTCATGATACCCGTTTACGCTCTCTCTCACCTGTGCAAATTGCGATGGGATTTAGACCTGTGGCTGTCTCCCTTATGGCCTGAGATCTAATTTCAATCATCATTGTTGGAGGGCTTGATTGGTGCAGTTCTTTAGAGCTAGGCAAAGGAGTTTACAAAGAAAGCACTCCAAATATTCAGGGCAAGCAGCCAAATGGATTCTCAGGAACCATGGCCCAGGGCTTCTGGTTTTCTTCTTTCCAAGTCTTCGTTTGCTTTTCCTATTACTGTGGAGGGGACTAATGCCACAGGACCAGCAACGAAAGCCATGAGCGAGGGAAGTGTGCTCTCTATATTAATACGCAAAGCGTCAAGGAAGGATGGCCCTGTGCTGTGAGTAGATGACTCATTCTCTAAAAGCAAACTTCAGAGCTCTTGCCCCTTGCTTCTGTCTCTGTGGCATGAGCAGGATCAGATATTTTGAAAGGGAGGTCTGTGATTCCAGCTGGCACCCTGTGCTCACAAATAGCACTCAGCTTTTGATCAACGAAGCTTGCGGGGAAATTCCAACCCTGAGATAAATGCGAAGATTGCTTTAACCAAGAAGACTCTCCAGACAGCTGTAATTCCTATGAGAAAATAAGAATATGGTGAAGGAAGTATTCATCTACAGGTACAGTTACCATCCAACTCTTTCTGGCAGGCTACTGGCAGGGACCAGAGTGGAGAGCTGTACACCAGTAGAGGCTTTTTAAATGGCATTTTGCAACCCCTTATAGCTGTTCTCAAAGGTCATGACTGCTTTGGGGGTCGCCCAAATACATCTTGCCTATCAGATATTTACATTATGATTCATAACAGTAGCAAAATTACAGTTAGGAAGTAGCAGTGAAAATAATTTTATGGCCGGGGGTCACCACCACATGAGGAACTGTATTAAAAGGTTGAGGCATTAGGAAGGTTGAGACCCACTGCCTTAGGAGATAGTAAAGTCATTTTACTGGGGCATAAAACACACTTATCAAATAGAATACAATAGAATGGTAACTGAGAAAATACAAAGTGTTAGTTAGAATGAACAATTTCTAGAAATCTATCAATTGAGAGACTCTTGGGGGCCGTGTGTGTGTTTCAGTGTGTTTGTGTGTACACATGCCCTAAATTGAGATTTGACCTAAGGCTTTTTTTTCTTCCTTTTTTAACTGTGCCAAATGAATTCAAAAACATTTGGCAAACACTGCCCTCATTCAGCTCTTTGCTACATACTTTGGGGGTTCCGACTTTAAAAACTAAAACTAAAATTCTGGCCACTTCATTCCAGGCTTTTCTAAGGCTGTAACCTTTGCTCTTTGGGGCACTGATTATCAGCTACTTTGGTGTGAGGAGATGACCTTAGGTGGAAATAAGTTTCCTAAAAAAAATAAATGGGAGATTTATAATGAAGCCTCTGGAGGCAGATAAGGCCAAGGAGAGAGAGAGCGCCAGATGATGTGTGTGTGTACATCTGTGCGTGTTATCAGAGAGACTTAGAGACCAGGATTCATTAGCAGGCACCAGTAAAAAAATGCAAAGGTGTTACTAAAACCTTACTGTCCACGCTGAGTCCTCAAGGACAGAAAAGGCTCAGAGACATGATGTGACTCTCCACCTGAAGAATGGCCGGAGATTCAGAATCCAGGACTTCCTCCCTCCCCTGGCTCTGTTCCCTGTCTCAGAGAAGAACTCTGCTTCGCATTTGCAATAGCATATGTGAAGGAACTTTGTGAAAACTCCCGAGAACGTCACGTTGCTCTGGAAATCACTGAGGAGGAACCCAGTGTACGAAGCTGTGCCGTGTTTAATTGATTTAGCGTGTGATTATTTCTCCTGCCCTCTCTTATAGGAAACTGACTTTGTTTCCAAAGGCCACGCCTCGCAAATTACTGGTGACGTTGATATGTATGTTAATTTTCTGGATCGTTTACTTGGCTTCAAAAGAATACACAAAGGTAGGAGTTGTTTTCTTTTTCAGAATTTTGCAGAGGGTCACAGTGACTCCGTTTGAATGATCCCCTTTATGATAGTAAGAAATAAAAGTTAGGCTCGGC